CTATGATACGTTTACGCGTAATATTTGTCCAATTTTTTTGCCCATTCATAAAGCACACTTTTCAAACAAACAGCTATATTATATCTATCGCGAAACATCGACTGGATGATTACTTTGCGAACAATATATTTTTAAGCGAGTTGGTACATATAATATATATATATATATATATATAAGCGAAAGAATCTACAAGGTGATCCATTTGAATAGAAACGAATAAAATATTTCAATTTTTAACTAATGTTTTTACTCTCACAACGAAATTGTTCTTTTTAAGAGGCACCTCGTAGATTACATGCCACTTATACAAAACACAATGAAAATGCACTCGTCAACTCTAAATAAATGATTCGTATAAACGACACGGAAAAGCGTAAGAGACACGATCGATGCCAGCGAGTCCCAGTTTCATGATTCATATATATGCATGCATGTATATGTATATATATGTATGTATGCTTGTATGTTTGTATGTATGTATGTAATGAATGTATATACATGTATATACCTACTTAAGTCTGAAAAAGAAAAAAGAGAAAGCAATTAAAAGGATGACTCGTACAGCATCGATCGTTACTGTCTCTTCGCTGTAATAATGAGAGGACAGTGAAACTTTCGTTGATATCATCGATTTCTTTCTTTTTTAGAATCTCCAAGTTGAGATCGTGTTTTTGTAATAAAATAAAAATATTAGAAAAAAAAAAAAGAAAAAAAAGAAGAAACATAAAACACAAAAAAGAGATAAGAGAAGAGACATTTCTTTTCCAACGAGTTTCAATGTCCGTACGACGATCATATTCGAAAGTCTTTTTTTAATTATGTTTTGAGTAGAATCACTCGACACTATCGATAGGGAGCCATCGTATAGACGTCTATTGGATCAGAAATTTTCTCAAAGAAACATCTAGATCAACGGTACGCAAATTATGAGTCTTGATATTAAGGTTTTGAAATTTTTATGAATTCTAGATACGTATAATAATAATAAGATTTCCAAATAAAGATAAAATCACGCAGATATACAGATTCGCGAAATCTTCATGAATTTTTTTCCATAGAAATAATTACATTTTTCATTTTCAAAAGAAAATAAATATTATATTATTACCACCCTCTTTCATACAAACATATATTCACTAATACAAAAATAAAAAAAAAAAAAAGAAAAAATATTAAAGAGGGTTCTCGGGATTTTCATGAATCTTATGCATACAAATAATCACATTTAAAAGCAATACATACCTTCGTTTTATTTCAAAATTAAAAAGAAGAGAAAAAGGAATGTCTTTATTGCTTTATATTTTATATTCGCCAAAAAAGAAAGGAAGAGAAAAGAAAAAAAAAAGATGTAAAGCTCGCGTAGAATTTCTGTCCATAAAAAAGATGATGATCAATTATAAATAATTTGCGCACCACTGGCCTAGACTCTCGATCCCTTTGCGATTAAAGTCGAGTCAACCCTTTTTCTCTGTCGCGTACGTATGTATGAAAGTATCTAGATATGTACATATGCATGTACGTATCTATGTATATACATATATACATACCAGTTTCTCACATAAAACGCTACGATTCGCCATTATTCTGAAACGAGAGTAGGTAACAACTCAGAGATCGTAAAAAAGAATGAAAGAGTAACGTCATACCTTATAATACGTCATCGTAAAGGAAACATAACTGCTCGTTAAAGAATTAATGTAAGTCGTGCGGATAAAGAGTGCGAAAGATCAACAACGTGTACATATATTACGTAGCTACATGTGTATGTGTATTTATATGAATGAATAAATGTATGCGTGTATATATATATATATATATATATATATATTTATATATACATACATACACGCATATACGTATGTAAATAAAAGAGAAAAAGAAAAGAAGACAGAAAGAAACAACAAACAGAAAAAGAAAAAGAAAAGAAGGAGAGCTCATTACAGAGAATTGAATTATAATTTGTAAAATTGTATGAAGATATATACATATATATATATATATTTTTTTTTTTTATTCTTCTTACAACATACGTTACATGATATAACAAGAAAATTAGGCAATTTTGTACTTATAGGCGAATTAATACTCTGTAATGCGTCCTCGGGTAAATATAACAAGAGAAAGAAAGAGATAGAGAGAGAGAGAGAGAGAAAGAGAGAGAGAGGAAAAAAGAAAGAGAAAGAGAGAGAAAGAGAAAGAAAGAGAGAGAGAGAGAGAGAAAGAGAGAGTGAAGAAAAGCATTCGTCATGCAAAAAAACGGGGATGGTAAGCCACATAAATGACATTCTTGCCAAAGCGCCATGCGAGCGAATTGAAGAAGGGGTGAGTGGTGAGGAAAGGGGAATGCAGACTACAGGAACAATTAGGAACGTTGAACAACTACGACAATGGAATCGTCATGCGAATGTATAACGAAGGATGTGCTGATATTTGTGCTACTATAGTTACTACTATTACAACTACTATTAATGCTACTAGTAGTGGTGATAGCGGTGGTGGTGATGGTGGCGGTGGTCGTGGTGGCGCACTTCTAATCTACTCTACTACTATTTCCTAATATCGCGCTCGAGAAACTCGAGAGAAACTGCTACTATATATACTAGGCGAACTCGTCGTGATGTATAAGAAAAAAAAAAAAAACAAAAGGAAAAAAAAGAAATGTAAATAAATACATAATACTAGATTAACGAGCAAGAGCAAAGAGAAATAAAACTATTTTACATTTACTATTATACATTAAAGTGAACTGATAGACTACTCGATTTATATATATATATATTTGTGCGTATTTTATACTACGACAATTTCAACGATTTTCAAAAAAATTTTCCAAGTTGTGTGTTGCTATAGTATATAATTAATTTATACATATATATATATATACATATATATATATATATATATATATATATATATACATATATATAAGGAGAAAGAGAGATAGATAGATAGACAGATAGATAGATAGATAGATGGAGAGATAAAGAGAATAATAGTTATCATAATAATGAATCATAAAATCGGATTCAAAAGATTTCAAGTTCGAATATGATAATACAGGACAAATTTTTAGGATCAATGGTGGACGATAATCAGATTGTTGGTTGTTGCCATTCCTTTCGGATGGGTTGAGGAGGAGCTAAAAGTATATATTTACGGAGAAAACATATGGTATATATATATTTTTTTTTTTTTATACGTACGTATAAAATAAAACTACGCGTCTATGGGAAACGAATTTTCTTATGCTACTTTGAGGAAGAATAATAATGGATACGAATGTCGATCCATAATAGTCGTCTGGCTGGTTGTCGAAACAAATGTTGTTAAAGTTGAATTTTATTTTCCATTTCCTATATAAATATTTATATTCATGTATTTATGTATATAAAAATCTGTTTCGTTCTGATATGCGAAGAACGTAAGAACATAGTAGACGTATACGTATAACATGAATGTCTTTAGAATTTATTATTTTTATTTTTTTTGTTTTGTTTTATTCATTTATTTATTTATTTATTCAATTTAACAATAATCGAGATATATATATATATATATTAATTTCATTGAAATGTTCTATTCTTCGATTAGCATGCTCGTTTCGTGCGAATTCTCCTTTCTCGCAGTACTCCGAGTCTCGATGCGAATTATTTTCGATGATCTAAGCGTAACACATCGCATTCACCAACTAATCTGACGATCTAAATTTCTACGTACGTCCGTTCGATATACGTGATAAAGGAATAGTGAGATTTTTTGCGAATAATTTTAGCACTTTAATTCTTTTTCATTTATATATTTCTCTATTTGTACGTTTCTTTTTACTTTATCTTTTCTGTTTTTTGTTCGTTCTTTTTTTTTTTCTTTTCTTTTTTTTTTTCCTTCCTTTTTAATCTTTCCCTCGTTTCCTTTATCGCGTTTCGAAGAATTATTAAATGAAATTCACGTGTCGAGCTCTCGTGATTCTATATTAAGTATATAGGCGCGAATAATAAATTTCATAATCCATACGATGCACGTCACAACGAAAAAATTTCTTTTATCATATTCTCTACATACATAGTATAAACAGCAGCTTGCATGCTCGTATCAAAAGAAGAAGAAGAAGAAGAAGAAGAAGAAGAATAAGAACAACTTGAGGAATGCTCGCGTTCGTTAAAAGAATATTAGAGAGTAATGCTACATAGAAATATAAAAGACACACGCTATAACAATAATATAGTATGTACTGTACACTTTCGGAAAAAAAGAAAACAAAAAAAAAAAAAAAAGAAAGAAAACAAGAAAAGGATAATAAAACAAAGTAAACAAAAATAAGAAATCAAAATCAAATTCCATTACTAATTCAAATATTCTACTAAACGTATGCCACAAAAACAAAAACAAAAACAAAAAAGAAAGGAAGAAAAAAGAATATCTACAAAATGTCTGTATATATGTAAGTATATACATATAAAATTTGAAAATAAGAAAAGATTTTTTTGCGTATGAAAAATTCTGTTGTGTTTTTTCTGTCTGTTTGTTCGGGGATCGTATTTTTGTAATTGAAAAATCAAAATTTATGTTATTTTTTCCTCTCCATGGAGAAATGGAAAAAAAAGAAAAGAGAAAATATAAAAAAGAAAAAAAAAGAAAAAAGAAAAAGGAAGAAAAAGGAAGAAGAAATATCACAACTCACTAATCGCTACGATTTCATTTTCAAAATACTTCGTGCCGTGAAAAAAGTTTTTCACCTAAACAAAATATGATATACAATACTAGGCTTTATCACGAACGAGCTCGTAGATTCCACAAATGACGTAATTTATTAAATATAATTCATTTACACGATATGCGTTATAAAAAATTTAGATCGGCGATTAAAAATTGAAATGGAATCTACGTTCTTATCCGTGTCTAATTCTACGGATCGAAGTTTGATAAAAAGAGAGACAAATGTGCACATTCGAAAGAAGATAAAATCTCCCAGATAAAAAAAGGAGAAATCCAAACTCTAAAAA